GGCTGAGGAACCGATGAAAAACTTTTTGCGCAGCATTTTCCCAATTTGTCGTCCTTTCATGATATGCTCATTAGCTTGGTCAAGCTCTTTCTGGAGTCATGAGAGACGCTTAGCAATTTGTCACTATTAATGGCACCTATACATATAGCATAACTGTGCATAGCTGTGTCTCAATGTCCAGGCCAGACAGGCAGGACAAGCCCATGCCTTTCAACGAAAGCAATCACGCCACTCCGATGAAGATTGCTTGGTGTCAAGCAACATACGTTTCACAAGTGTTGTGCCGATGAGTCTGCTTTCGTGGCATGCCTGCGTATTGTTCATACGGGTGATGGCCTGGTCGATACTAGGCATCAAGATCGGGAGTTCGTAATACAAGAGGGTCACAAGCTTTGGGCCCCTGTATGTAGCGATTCTTTTCACAAGCTGATTGGGGTCCTGCCACAAAAAAATTGCTCCAGTGAAGTCGACGTAGGCGAACTGGAACAACGAAAAAAGCAGGGCAGCCTGGTGGGCTTGCCCATAATAACCTGAGTGCTATCACAACCTCTGGATGGTTTTACTCGCACTACGGAACAAATTGAGATACCTGCTTAGTATCCGCTTAGAGCTCGGACAGCTCCGCAGCGTTCCGAACTGAATATTCCACCACTTCAGAATATAACTTGAGTCCGGGCGCATTTCTTTAACTCGCCGGGCCAGCCTGGCCGACCAAGCCGTGCTGGCCGCCCGCTGAACTATTGTATTGAACGTTTCAAGGCCTGCTAGGATCGTGCAGTGTGCGCAAGAACCCAGTGGAGAGAGAGACTGAAAGGCGTAACTGGCGTAGCCCATTCTTTGTCTAGTATAAAGAAGATGCGTCTCTGCCTGCAGTCGTCTTTGGGGCGTGGCAAGCCTAACGGTCGCATGAAAGCCCGGGGAGTCAGCGGCTTCCACTATAGAAGAAATGAGAATCATCCCAGCCAGCTATAGCTGGAGAACACCATCCGTGGTGCGGAGCGCTGAAAGTGTGGGCAATCGGTCACTTTGGGGATGCTCGTAGTAGAACAGCGAGAAAAAATACTCTGGGCGGTCCTCCTAACCAATCGATCTGTTGAAAGCTCTTTGTTATCCACGCTGGTGATCATGGTCAGTGGGCTGTCTACAGCAGGAGTGATGATAACGCATATATGCAGCCATTTAAACCGGGAAAATCTGCAATTGTTCATAGAAGGGCTGCTCCCCACGTGCAGTATGTTGGTGGTCTCTTCCCATACAAGCAGTGAATGGCAGGCGGTTATTTGGTATTGCTGCTAAGAAAGCATTACCTCTAGTGCGGTCTCTCAAATGAGGTGGCGCAAAAGCAGAAGGTGAGGACTACGAGAGTTGGCAGATGAAGGTCCTGGCAGCCTCATCCTCGGTCGTTATCAAATAAGAAGCTTGCGCATCTTCTCCGTATTCGTCAGCACAACTTTGGCCTTGATAGATTTCTACTGAAGAAGGTACTCCACTACCGCGCGACATCGCGTAAACTCTGAGAGCTCCTGCTCCCGAGCAGCGGAGTCAGTGGCTGCCGAAGTGTGTAGATCTTTTTCGGATGTTCTTATCTCTGCGTAGAGATAGAAAATGAAACAAACCTCATTCATTGCACTAAAAGGCGAACGGAGGGAGGTCGCTTGGGCTATCTTTACTGGGCCACCCACAGCGTGAGTACAATTATGTGAACCTCAACTTTTCCAACGTACAAATGCCATATCATTAAGGTATGGCGCGGTTGCTAATAGGTTACCATGCATGGTTGCGCCTTCTAGGCAATCTCTGAAGCATACCCGCAGTTGTTGTGCCATGAAATCTGCAGGTAGTTTGCCCTCCGCTTTGTAGCTGCAGATGTCAGGTCGGCTTCGCGACCGGTGCCGAGTGGCACTAACAGCTTGTGAGCCCTAACACAAACTTTGATGAGCACAGAGTTCACTCAAGCGAGATTTTGCAGGCTTAGCCCTACCTCCTTCAAGTCCACCACCGCACCGCCAACTGCTTCGTTGTTCATGTGTGGGAACCAGGGCTTCGTCGGGCCACACTCTTGGTTTCCGTGATGACGATCGTCAAAGGCTTGCTTCTGCGTCTCCCCTGGTTCTCCTCATGGCTTTGGAAGATCGGACCATGTGACGAACTCTGTTTCCGGAGAAGCAAAAACGGTGCCCGCAGGTTGTCCCGGCACTCTGAATGGAGTTGCGTCCTGTCGTGTATTCTTACTGCTTATCTTTTCATGTGCAGATGCGACATTGACAGAACCAGCAGTAATGGGGTCTGTGTGCGGGCCATCTTCAAAGCTTTTGTTTTACTTCTAGGAATAGCAGTAGAAGTGACGTATTTCCGCCTTCGATGCGTAGGTTCTTAATGATGCCGGTCAATTTCATTCGTTCACCCCCTCTCCCCCTTCCCGTTGCCTAACCGGTTACTGATTGCCAGTCACTGGAAAGCCCCGTGGTGAACCATTGATACGGGAATGCGGACTGCACGAGGGCTTGGAGCGCTGCTCAATAACGACCGTTAATTATTTATATGTTCCACTGATAGATACCCTTGTATGTCTATTTAAATTCTGTCGCAGCTTTACACTTCGCGAGGATGTGGAAACATTAATATCGCAGGTTATTCCTACTGCGTTTGTCATTCCGGCTAAAGGGGTATGGCGCTGCGTAGACATCGTCACAATTGCTGTGCCGCCCCCTATGTTGCAGCCGTTAGCAACGGTAGCCCTTCGGGTGCGTTTTTAAAACAAAAATACCCCATCGAAAGAGCATAGATATTCCCCCACTCTTCTGCACTCATGCACCCATCATATATGGACGGTCGCCACAGCAGTCAGTGCTGTGTGGGCAACGAGGCTGCCCTGCTTGCTACGCGTTGTCGGATCACCATCAGCGAACAGCAGATCAACCATTATTCTTCGACCCCCCAAAATGCCGACATTTTGGCAAAGGAATAAAGGCTGCATCTGAAAGACTTTCTTCCTGATTGAGTACAACTTCAGGACTGAATAATGGCTTTCGTCAGGCAACTCCGCGGCAGCATGGGTTCTGCAGCACGAACCTGGCCATATCTCTCATGTTGCATTACCAAGTGTGACGAGAGTCCCTAGCCTTTGCCAAAGACCACTATTAGCTACTCAAAAGTCGTAGATTAATATTTCCCCCCAAGTTACTGGCCTCTCCTTTTTTCGACACATCTCCGGATCATAGCGACAAATGATCCTGCGGCTTGTGGGAAAATGCGGCGCCTCTCCTCAGCCACGTGTTTTCCAGCTAGAGCGGTTATTCCGCAGCATTGGCACATGGCGATAGGCCTGTGCTCCGTACGAAACTTCAAAAAAGTTTCAGCTGTAGTACTCTCAGTGCAAAGTATGTGCATCTCGTGGTTCGACAAGAAAACATTGAAACGCATACAGCCTGTGCCCTTCGTAGGACGTTTGTCAACAGGCACGAGAATCCAGCTGGACTCTGGAAAGGCGCGGGGGGCGAAATTAGGTAATTCGCTCCCTAGCATGGAAAAAACAAAACGTATGCTGCACGCTTGGTAGAAAAAGAATGGCACTGAGGAGCCTTTGGAATCCTCTCTTCTGCAATCGTGGATTTGTGTAAGCCAGCTTCCACTTGTTAGATACGTAATCAAATATAGCTCGAACGCCCATATTGACCCGGCCAACCCATGCACAGATGTCTCACTACCCTACTTTTGGTTCTCATCTGGATGACAACCTTACGGTATGCTCAGGCAGTTGTAATTGTTGGCGTGATGAGGCACCCAAATTTCCCACAAAATCTATTTGTCGACAAGACCGGCATGCAACCGGCCATCAGCGCAATATTGCGTTTGCCTCCTGCTGAGTATTACAAGTTAACTATTGCCAGGGACAGCAGGGCTCGTTGATGTTAGCAACTTTGAGTATGTGTGCGCCTGCCTCTTCGTGAAACGACTAGGAACAGGGAAAATCGGATCGTTGTGCGTCCTATCCAACAGAGCACGCATTTGCATCGTTACCTGACCCACACAGGCAAGCATCCCTCTGCACCAGAGGTGGAAGCTTGTTTTAACGCAAAGACTTAATTATAACTTTCAACTTGTGACTAGTGAAAACGATGACTAACTGTAGACGCACTGCTTTAATGCCAGGTATCTAACCGCATCGTCGGCAGCGCACGAAGTGCTGCCCGCTGCAGGAGCCTTGCATGTACCTGGCTGCAACAGCTTCTGCCTAAGGGTTGCACTGATGTAATTTAAAAAGAAAATTTGCAACTTAGCGCCTATGAAATACACAAAAAGTGGGGTATCGTCACCAAAACAGTCCTACAATGAGTGGGTCGTGCAGTAGGTGCATGCATGCAGCCAAAGTCCTTGTGGCACGCCACAAGATCTACGCGTTCACAGGAATGAACCAACTGATATATGAGGCTACCTCAAACCACGAGGTGTGTCTTCTTCAAAAACGTAAGCGCAGACTCACAACAGAACGATTAAACCCGAATGGGCTTCTTAACAGCTGTTGAGAACGCTGTTCCCTATTTGCCAGCTTCCCGCTCACTTTAAATAATTGGTGGGGTAGGGCATTGCAGCTGTGCACATGCGGGTTTTGTTAACATTTTAGAGGATGTTAAGACTTACGATTCATATCTAGCTGTCGCAGTAACAGTTCCACCGGCCATTATTCCTGTACTCCTGAATAGTGGCGCCTATGGCCTTGCATCTCCGAACTTTAGTGGGAGCTCCCACATTTAAAGGACTCCTCTTCCAATACTACGATATGAATGGCCGCGCGGTACAGTACGAGTTGCATCGCGGAACGATTCAAAACGCAGAGAGGACGCCATGCTGCGGAAGGACCCGAATGGCAGTCCTTAACGCAGTACCCTAAGCTACTTGCTTAGGTTTCACGGCGTTGCCTCCTGATTCCAACTTGTGTAGCTAGTTGTTTGTGAGATGTAGTTGATCGGTCACTGGATTTCCCCCCGTGTGCAGTGAAAATGCTCGAGTCATTCTTGCTGCCGTACTTCAACACGGCCCTTTCTGCGGTGTTTGAGGACCTTGAGCCTCACCAGCTATACGCATCTATTTTGGGGGGTAGCCTGGTCTTGCGAAACCTGAAGCTGAAAGCAGATGCTTTGGCAGCGCTTTCCATACCGGTGGACGTAACATATGGGCATATAGCGAAGCTCGAGGTGAAAGTACGTTATAAGAGTTCCTGAAGCGTGCTGTTAACCCACTGCATACTTCACATTTTGCGTTGACGCTACCTAGCGGAACCCATGCACTTGAAGGCACTGCTGCGAGTCGCACACCGATGCCCTGTGTCAAGTTGTTCACGCCTGTGGTAACGAGTGAATGTGTGTGCTACGTCTCGTACAGCTTAATTTACTTCGTCTGCTAACGGGGCCCATAATCTTGCACGCTGAAGATGTACTTGTAGTTGGTACAACCCAGCCTCCATCTGCATGGAATGTTGAGAGAGAGCAGGCCCTGCGGGACCAGCAACGAAACCTCACTCTCTTGACGGACGAATGTTTGACGTATGCTCGGGAAGAATCAGGTCTTCCCTCTGTACTGCAAAGAGCAGTGTATGCCATTATTCAACGAATCCAGTTGTCAGTTAGCAGGTTGGAAGTGAGATTGGAAGACACGGAAACAGCACCAGGGCAGCACTTTGCTTTTGGTTTACGAGCAACGCGCCTGTATAACGTTCGGTGTGATTCCAACTGGGAAGCAGAGGGCCAGTCTTCCGCAGCAATCCTCGCAACGTCCAACAGCAGCGCCGGTCATCCTCCAGCCTCAAATACTAATTCTTGTCAGAGTTGGTTTGACTGGCTAAAATCTTTTGGGGGTCGCCAGGGAAACAACGAGTCCCCTGAGAATAAGATTCCAGAGTCATTCCACTTGAAGACGGTAATGGAAGGCGCTTGCATATATCTAGACCCCATCAATAATGGCCACGAGCAAGCCTCGTGGATTCCTTTCCCAGCCTTGTACAGAGCAGGGATAACTGAAGACCTGCAGAGGTACCTTGTTCTGGATGACCACTCTTCTAATGCAAAAGAGGTTACAGCTTGGTCCGTTATTAGAAAACCAGGGCAAGGCGAGGGCCAAGGCACTGCGTCTGTCGTGCCAGTAAGCAGACTCAGGCAAACTGTGTTGGGTAGAAAAATGCGGAGCGCTGCCAAATCTGGCGATTCCGCATCCACATCAGATGAAAAACGGCCACAGGAAGTAGGTAGCATAAAAAACGGTGATGCAAACTCTAGTCCTCCTGCTCCATTGGGGGCACCCCAAGCTACTGAAGCAGGCTCGCCTAATAATCATCAGCAGGACAAGTCACCTGAATTTATTCGATTTAGCGACTTGTACTGCCCAGAGGTGATGTGGCAAATTGCCAATCGTACAGCTCCCCATCATATGTACATTCTAAAGCCAGGAGAGGTGGAACTCAGAGTGAGATGCGTACAGCGACCTACAGCTCCCTCTCCAGGGTGTGAAAAAACCTTCTTTCGTCCTTTTCCAACGGCTTCGCACTTGAGGTTAGCAGGCGATGACGGCAATAGTGGGACTTCCACAGCGAAGGCAGGGGCAACGGCCGAACTTGAGGAGGAGCCACTGCCAGCACTCACCATCATTGTCGTCTCTCGGAATAGCCTTTTGCAGCTTACAACGTTTCAGGTAGCCTGCCTTTTCCGTTGGGTACACTATGCTGTCATCTTATACCAAGAGGTCGTCTCAGGCGTCTATGCGGAATGCCTGTAAGTCAGGGGCATTCCAACTGTGCTCATTTGCGAGTGTTCCTCGGTGTCTTCAGGGCCCCATTCATGCGTGTCTATGCTGAAACGCTTCTTCAGAGACCTCACACCAACAGAAGATGAAATGGCGAATTACCGGTATGCCTGGCGCCGCCATCTCGTGCGCTACGCTTTGAGTGCCACAAATAGCGGAAAGGCGCTTAACGTGCAAATAAGGGCAGGGCAAAGTAGAGCAGCATTTACCCCTGCGAGCGGTGTGGAAGAAAGGGACTGGGAGGCGGAAGGAGCTGCTGATGAAAAGCTTATTCAAGAATTCGAGGCAAAGTATTGGCCAACAGTAATTCTTCCCTTGCGGCAGTTGGCGCTTCAAGACCTAAAGCAGAAAGTCTGCCTCGCTCAGACTCCTCGTGTCGCCACCCGCTCCCAGCAACAATTCACAGTAGGTGGTGACAAAACAATTTTCTATCGAACGTTGGAAGGAGGACAGTCACTAGGCGGGGCATACTGCAGTGATGCTGATGCTGCAGAACGCATCATTGCTTCTTCTAGTAATGAGGCAGAGACTGACCCAGTGCAAGGGCTAATAGAGGAAATGGCAGACGAAGTGTCTGTGGCTTCTGAAGCCGAGCTACAGATGATTAAATGCATAGAACAAATGCAGCCTTGTCGGTTTTCCAAGAGCGTCCAGTTCGTCGTGCATTTTTATGCTCTAGAGGTGACACTAGCCGCTGCGTACGAAGCCCCTGCATGCATACGTGTAAAATTTGATGAGCTATATACCCACAGTGCAATGTACTATGACCTGCGCATGCAAATGGTTGCTGCGTTTGAGGGTGTCCAAATCACTGACAACCTGATGCCCAACTTAGTCCATCGTCGGGTGCTAGTCAGCCAGTCGTGTACAAAATCCCAGACGGAAGACCATACGTTAGCTGAAGCATGGAAAGGGCCGACCAGGGACACTCCCACTAATGCTCTGCTCCCTTCGTACGGATGTGCGAGTTGTGGGTCTAAGCGTATTCATGGAACGCCTCCGTTATCGCCGCTTCAACCAGTTAACACTGCATGCATCCTAGACTGGAGCATGAACTGCGTACGCCAAGGCGGATGTGCATTAGAATATTCGAGGAAAGAATGCGAAGGCGAGATGCGCGCTAGTCAGGAGGCCCCTGCAGGAGGGTGGCTACGCATTGACAAGTCCTATGTGCCTCTAGAAGGTATCCCGGATATACGCTTATACCTTCAGACACATGGTTCGCTCCTTTGCACAATAACACCAGCTGCACTAGCATATCTTGTCGAGGCTCTACAACAACCAGTTCATATGGTGGAAGGAAGCAGCATTCTGGAGGCAGCTAGCAGAGAAGTCCAAGACGCATTGCACAGAAATGAACTATTTCTGTCCCAGCTGCTTATTGGGGAAGTTGACCACCCAACGATTGATGTATGCGTGGATATCCCGGTTTCACACAAGTTGCTCGTTCCCTTTAGCCATGAGAACTTGCAGTGCCGTGGCGTCCTCTTTCAGTCCGGATTAGTGTCGGTTGATAGCCGCTTAAAACGGCCGGAGCAACAGCGCTTTGCACCCGGTCACACATGCATTAGCAAAGCCTACGACAGATATTCGATCATGATTACGGGGGCCTGCTTGCAGCGAGTAATAAATTGCCAGCAGGTTGGGTGCGGCCAGTCTGCCTTCCAAATCGTCTCGCCTTCTCTGTTGAATGGGAAAACAAACAATGCAAAACGATCTGCAGGAGCCTTAGCGGAGGTAGGCACAACTGAAATCGACCCTCACAACCGCTCTTCATATGCAGGGCCAAACTGCAGATGGCGGGAGGAACTCCGGACGAGCTCTGCCGCTGGGCGCCACAGGGAATCGATGTGTGACAGCACCGACAACCGGGTAGAAATGGTTGACGGGCCAGTGACTTACGAAGCATGTGAAACAAATGACCGGCTCGAAACCTCAGAAACCATGGAGGAGAGTGGAAAAACCTATATTATGTGGCCAATAGGATTAGTTGCGAACATTGACGTCTGCAACAATCTTCATAGTCTTACTGACTTACCCGCGTTCTCAATAACCTTCCAAGACCAAGACTTCAGGTGCCCGAAAGCCCACCATCTGCCGGGACACCTACCACTCAGTTCGGTATTCCAACTGAAACTATCATCTCAGGCTGCTGAAAACGACGCTAATTTGCTTCGTCTGTCGACAGTGCGATGTGCACCTTCCGTTTTTACGCAGTGGCGTTTGTATTACGTTGACAGACAAGGATATCGTGGCTTTCACCGGATTCCTCGCACAAGCGCAAGCTGTGCTGGAGATTGTTGTTCCATTGTGGAATGCACCATTGGCGGCTGATGACAACTTGGATACCCATTCTTTCTCTAGCACAAGCTCCGCCACGTTGAAGTCATCGGAGCAGGGGGATTCATGCACAACGGAAATCCACTTGCTTGAGTCTCTTTCAAGTATCAAAAAGGTATGCCATAATGCCGTTGAGTAAAGGCTGGCCCCGGTATTAATATAGTAGTGTTCTGCAGTAGAGAGTATGGCAGCCCCTCTGGAGATTTCCACGTCTTTTACTTGCCCACCTACGTCCTGGGGATTACTGTAAACTCTTCAGGCCTGAACACCCTTGCGAACGAGTGTACTGTGTCTAGGCGTACCTTTATAATCTTTTTTTCTCCGTCTTCTTACCTACTTGACGAAGAACGCTTTGACTTACTGCTCTGACGACAGCAAAGATATGCATGTACAAAGTCACTAACGCTTGGATTTGTGCATTTTCAGGATCGAGCGCTTTGGGGGAGAGGGGCAGCAGACATAATCCGGCTTTATAGCAATCGCGCCAATCGTAGAACTGTACGTGATGCGACGGCCGGAGGCCTAAGCGATTCCTCTGGAAGAGGGAGCATGGACTACTTAAGCAACATAGAGAAAAGCTCTGCCTTTAGGCGAGTTGCATTTTATCTCCATCGCAGTCTACATAACTCTGGCGTTCCCGGGTCAAACCACCCAATCCTTCGTAAGCGTGCCGAGCACATGCTCTCCACTACCCGCATACGGCAAGCTGGACCGAGATTCCCTGACAGGGAACCATCTTCGCTCGAAAATACCAGTAGCACAAACCTGCAGCCCGTTGAGCTCAGCTGCAACCCAATGCTGCGGCGGTCTTCTTCGTTCGAGGAGGTGGATTGCAAATGCGGCAATTGCCTTGAACTGGAGAGCGAATTCAGTCGAAGCGTATTGCGTAAGGATGAAACTCTAGAAGCGCCTCCAGCAGCGCAACATGCAACTCAGCAGGGTGCTGCGAACGGTCTAATTGGATTCGACGTAAGATTGGGTCTGTCAACTCTCGAATTTCGACTTTGCAAGGAAGAAGGCACAGTTGTTCTTGCGGCCAGAGGCGCAGCTGAACATGTGGCTAGCTCGACGGGGAAACGCCCAAGGAGCCTCGGCAACAATGTACTTGTAAAGTGCATTGTGGGCAACTCGCAAATCCGGCTGAGTTGTCCATCTCAGAGCACATGCACCGCTTGCATGGCAACCTTAGATGAGGTGTACGTTTCCCTTGGACGCCCCGTTTCGGCTGACCCACCTGAGCTTGTCCTTCCTGAAACTAGCTGGGGAAGCTATGACTATTCGAGAGGAATGAGCGATGCAGTCGTCGGAGACAAACACTATCAACGCACTTGTTTTTCACGGCGCATTTCGACTGCCGAAGGCTGTGTAGCAAGTGGGCCAGCACATATGGGCCACTTGCCTACGAATTCAGATCCGCGTGGCCTTTGCCCTTCAACGTTTTCACTTCATCAGTCTTGGTTCGCACCGCTGTTCCAGTTTATGCCACCCTTGAATATTAACCCCACCGATGTTGAGCAAGCTGCTGCTGACGTTGCCACCGCCCTTTCCGAAGCTGCAAATTCTCATGGCCAATCTTGTTCAAGGGTAATGCTACCTTCTGCAACTGTCTTGGCGCTTCGACGAGCATTTGCGAGCAAACGGTTGAGGATAACGACTCGCTGGATGTTCCCACCTCCGTATCCAGGAGAGCGGTATCGCGATGATGACAGAACAGAAAATCCAGAGTCACCGTGGGAAGTGGAAGAACAACAGTCCAGATACACTCCACTACTTAGTGGCAGGATATGTGACGAAAGTAGCACTTCGCAAGATACCATCAGTGGCGAAACTGCTGCGAACGCTGCTGGACAGGCCAATTTGAGCGTTTCCCCCCGTAGTCTCTACTCGCACATCAAGAGCGCTGCAGAGGAGGAGGTGCTGGTCGAGGACCTGGTGGGAGGCCGATACTTTTTCATACCTGCTTGCTTGCACGCAGCGATAGTATCGAAGAAAGCCTGGCAGGCACTAGCAACGAAAGCGCCAGCTGTTTCCGTTGAAGCCTCGTTGTGCCTTAAAGCGCTTATATATTCCTTGGATCTCCGATGCACCCCTCTCAGGGTAACGCTTGACTGGGGGGTTCTTTCAGAACTTATCGGTGGGTCGAACAGCTAGTGAAGCTACTAATTTACATTGCCCCTGCTACAGAAATACATGGTAGGCACCTTGGCGAGGTGTTGCCTCTGATGCAGGTCTTGCAGAGGGAGTTGTCTGCGAGGCTAGTAAAAGCTATGCAGCAGCTACTCCACGGTCTGCGGCTGCACCGAATGCGGCGGCCAAATTTCCCGTTAATCCGCCTCCATTTCAGCGGCGTAACCTCGGTTGCGTGTCTTTTGAAAAGGACGAGCCTACTGCAGGGCTTGCAAATAAAAACGAGAAAGACGCGCGTAGCAAGTGGAATAGTGATAGTCTGGACGTTGTCCTTTTTATGCAAAATGGTGGCAAACTTCCATGGAGAGTCCGGGTTAGCATGCTTATCGATCACTGCGATGTGGTTTTGCCTACCAGCACGCCTTCGCCGTATTCCAGCTGTCCCCTATCCCCAACATTTTTTAGTGAAGCCCAAATGATGTGGGCGGAGCAAATTCCAAGCCTAATTACGCGGCATCCAACGCGTCGAAGAAGTCTTTTGGAGGCGCCTCCAGTATCTCGAAGACTTCAGTCCCACAGCACTGGTTTAGCGCTGCACCAAGACTCCAGTTCCATGGCATTGTGCGGGCTGGACAGCGTTGATGGCTTCCCCGCTTCCTTCAGGCAAGGCGGGCGAAACAAGGGAGCAGAGACGGACACACCGTCAAGAGAAGGGACCCACGATTTATTGGAGGCAATTCTAGCTACAGCACCTCCTCTTTACGTCCTTTCCTTTTCTTTTGCCACTTCCTTTTATTCGGAGTGCCACTCACTCGTACATGCTGGGTTGACAGCTTCTTGTCAAGCAGAGCCTGGATGCTCCCAAGAGGTAGTGAGACCTACCAGAGTGCAAAAAACCGTGAGGCTCTTGGGAAACATAAATCAACTACGGGCGGAACTATTGCAAGGCACAGGCGGCCCTGACAAAGCTCTGACTCATTTGGTTGAACTACTGCAGAGGGCATTGGGGCTACCTGAGCCAGAAAGCGTAGGTCGCCCACCCCTTGGAGGTTGCTTGAGGCCCACAGGATTCGGAGTTCCGAACGTGTCTCCCTTAACGCTTCTCGATGGCCACCGAATTGCACGTAACCTGTCTTGCACCGCTACGAGGGAAAGATCTGCTTCTTTAACAGCATCGCAACTATTTGCTGATCCCGTTATAGAGCCCCGCTCAACATGCGGTTCCAGCCAACCTAGTAGGGGTTTCCGCTCCACTATGGAACCCAGCCGCAAAGGAAGGGTTGGTAATCGGGCAGTGATCACTGTACAAAGGCACGGGATCATTGATGGGTGTCGCTGCCGAGTGACAGCCTGCTTCAGGACGGCAGAATCGAAGTGTGCGGAATGCATTTCTACCGTGGGACGAACGGAGCAAACTCCGTCGCGCAGCTTGCCGGATGGAACAAGCCTAGAAAAGGTTACTGGTGCAGGATTGACAGAACCAAGATGCTGCGACGCAACAAATGCTTACAGACGGAGACCAAACTACTTCGAGAACAACGGAGAAGTAGTAGTCGATCTGGAGCCTCTGGTGGTACGCATGTCTGCGGAATATGGATACGGCCGTTTTGAGAGACATTGACACTGCCCGTTATCGCCTGTAGTAGCGTTGACATATCTGCACAGTTTGGGCACTTATGGTGGCCCATGCAGCGCGATAAAGTGGGAACGACGACATTCAGCGTGAGCAATAGTAGTCCCGGTGCGTCATCTACTCGCAGGTACACTTGGAGCCGTCCGTAGTAGTCGCTGGGGTGTCACTGCTTCAGCTTCTGCAAAAGCTTTTTATGCCAGCTCCTCCGACAGCCTCATCGCCGCAAATTGAAACAGCAGGGACGCACTTTGGGACGAAGTATGCTGACGTATGTGCCAAACTATCAGAAGTAAATGGCACGACGACAACAGCTAGCAAGCGTCCGCGCATCTGCGTCACTGCGGAGCCATCTGGTGACGCAGGAGCACCAGATGACCATCGCCAACAGCCACGTCTGACAACGCCTTGCCGGGTTCAAAAAAATGGCGAAGCACTGCTTGCCAACGCCAGTGTTGCTGCTGTGTCATCACCGGAGATTGCAGGAAAAGTGCAATCTTCTTTTGAAACCGCAGAATCTTCGTTTTCTTCCTCCGTTATCGAGGGTTCCGTCCCTATTGCGGACGCAATACAAGGTGTGGGAGTCAATGAAGGCTTTGGCGAAGGCACTAGAGGCAGCTCGCCGGTCTCAGAAAGCAAAGGAAAAAACGCTGAATGCCATGTGGGGTCTAGGCAGCGTACACATGCCACACTTGAAGATAATACGCAGGACAAGGAGGATACAGGAAACACCTTGTCTTTGTTTTGGAAGTTAGTAAACTCTCTTGGCGCCGTTCTTATCCTGAAAATACAGATGGAGTGCATCCAATTTGAAAGCCCCTCTCTGCATTTCACCGTGGAGGACCTAGAAGTTCGCTGTGGTCTCGAGTAAGAGCTTTGGATATCTTTTATCCCTCAGAATACGGCATCTGTTTGGTAAATATTTTCTGTAAACATCATTGTTGAACACTTTCCCTCCTGCAGCCATGAGCAATGCTCGTCTATTTTCAGGAGATGCGTGCAGGCTCTGATGTCAAACGAGCACATGGCTGTGTATTGTTTTGTTTACGGCCGTCTTAGCTTCTGCAGGTTCCCTCGCTTCCTTGAAGCGTCCCATCTTAAGGCGGCCCCAGAAAGTTACACGTACATGAGGAACGCCAAACGAACGCGACAGAGGTCGGTAGCTGCCCGGCTTTCACTGAAGCGTCTTCCACCAGAAGAAGCCACTCTCCCTATGCCGCAGGCGTCGCAGGGAAGGCAGCAATTCGGACAAGCTGCACTCAAAAAGCCTACAAAGCTACCAGTATCTCCAAGTGACATGACCAAGGGAGATGCGAGGGAACAGAAGGAAGTTTCGCTAGGCATTACGATGATGTTCTCTGCCGAAGCTCTGCATAAGGAAAGAATAGCCCTTGAATCTATCGTGGAACCATGCCAATGCTCCGTGGACCTTCGATATGTACGTTCACTTCTATGGGCGTATAGGTAGGCAGCGGGCCTCCCTGGAATCATTTCTCATTGCTTCTAAAAGTAGGTGGATCGCTCTTGCTTGCTGCTGCTACGTAGACTCCAGGGGATCTTCTGCTAAAGACGCTATCAACTCACCCTCCAGCAGAGAAAGGCGCAAGCCATTTCACAGGGCGGCCTACAGTGTTAAAGAGAGCAAAGTCTGTATGGGCGTCCGGGGCACATGTGAAGGATTCCAGAGCAAGAGATGGACAGCAACGTTCCTTTCTCTTAAACCCCAAGCTGGAGAGGAGGACAAAATACATGCAAAACAGCCTGAGCTACCGTGCTTCGGAGGTGGACTCGGCAGCTGCCGAGGCAAGAAAAGGCCTTGAGACGCAGGCCCATGTCTACCAGTGGATGAAGGATGCCAGTAGTCGCAGTACAAAACTTCAGCAGCTCGCGAAGACTTGGGGCAAATACGGGACAGAGGTCTGCGCAGAAGTCTACTGCTCCTGGATTAACGTGACAGCAGCGCCTTTCCTCATGGACGCAGTGCTGGACACTGCTAACCTCATCGAGGCAGCTCAGCGAGCATTGCAAGAACAACTCAGCAAGTGCGGGCCGATCCCATACCAACCAACAACAGCACCAAGTGTCTGTTTGCGTACATTCCCCACTTGGTAATGCATGGAAGCTTCGTTCAACGCTGCGGCTCATGTACTCTGCGCTGCGCAGGCAGCAACATCTGCGCATTGCTCTCCGCAGCGGCACTTCACCAAGTAAGGTACCAAAATGTTCAACATGCACGTTAGTACCCTGGCAGGTGGATTCCTTTTTTGCTTGCCATACCTTGAAACATGCATAGAGCATTTGTTCTTCTGCCATATCTGGCATGGCTGGCGATTTTGCATGGTTGTACACCTTCTTGATTTCATCACTGGGAGCTTTTAAATGCTCAAATACAATGCGAACATGACCTGCAGGCCCCGTTCAACAATCCAAAAGCACGACGAAGAATATCGACTGTCCTACAAGGAACTTCATAATCGTTGCATCGCAGGGAAACTTGGCTCTTCCAGAACGTACAAACGAAACCGCGAGCGACGTCCCAGACGCCTGCCCAGAGCACGGGAAGGAAGGCCATTATCCCAGCAGGATCGTCGGCTGTGCAGATTCGGCGTCCGCATCGGTCGTCCGGAGGCAATCCCACGTAGAGCAGAGTAACGTGCCTGATATAACCCGTGTTCAAGGGGCACTCGAATCTCCTGCACAGGGTTTGCGAGATCATCCACAAAACAATGCGGCCATGGAAGAGCAGCCTTTGCCCTTGTTGTAGGCATCATCACATTCACCGCCAGCCACTTGCTCTGCGCCGCATCTGTTGTAAGCAAATTTTGCATCTCAGCTCTTTAAGGCTAACGTCTGTACGTTGAAATGAATTGAACTGCGCAAGTATCAACGGTGATTAACCCTTTTTGCTGTTTATTGATACGCAGAGTAAACATGACAGGCCTGCTATTACTTGTCCACATCCCGAATCCAGAAAGGCGAACCCCAGAGGCACAGGGAGAGGAAAGCAACTCGCTAATGCTGGATCACCACCTCGTGACAGATGGTTTTGGCATCATGCGCAGAAGAGCTTTTGCAACGATTCCCGTGGCAGCAAGGGATTCTTCATCAACTACTTCACAAGGCGCTGGAGAAGATGAGCACAACTACAGCAATTCCTTGGACGGAAGCTTAGACAATACAGCCGCCTGTGACAACCAGTTCAACACTTCACCCGGAACACAGGCAGCCACAGAAAATATGACTGGAGGGTGGAGGCCGGTGTATCATGGCGAAAGCTTACAAATACCTTTAGACGACCACGTGAGGTCCATTCCGCCTATTCAGCGCCGCTAATAGTAGTGTTGCTGCTCCGCCGCTGCAGGCTTTTCAAACCTATGACTTGTCTGTTTGTTGTCCTATCGGCGCACGCAGGGGCAGACCAGGAAGGTGGTGGTCCGCCTGCAAATTGCGGGGTCCGAATTTGAGATAGATGACTTGAGCCTCGATGGGACCCAAGTGTCCGTAAGAGAGCTTCCAATTAAGCTGCCCGGGCTTATGAATATCCCACTGCTACGGGATGCGAGAAAAAAACAGCGGCGCGAGTTGCTTCATACCTCAGCACGCATCCTTGTGAGAACGGTGTTTATCCCCAGTACGCGAACCTTTAATACGTACTTGTCGTCCATGGTCTCCATCCGAAATAATTTATCTACTCCAGTCATGGTACGTTGGGTTATGGCCTCAACCCCCTTTTGCTAGGGTCAATTATATTCCTAGCTTGAGCAAAGACCTGCCCTAAGGTCAGAAGGTTGCGAGCTGCGGTTCAGGTCTTTCCCCATCCTGCCATAGCTGTTCGTGACACGCCTGCCGAAGGCTCTTCAACTGCATCCTCGAGTTATTCCGCCGACGACCGGCAGAACGTCGAGGAACCAAAAGGCCGTTTAACGTCCTTAAGAAGACATGTGAGCCCGAAGGAAAACGCAGATGAAGGAAATTTCCCGCGCTCCCCCGTCAGCGCGGAATCGTCCGCAGCAGAGCCATTGGTCCACGGAGACCTCCAAACCACCGCATCACACGCACATCCTGATGACAGCAGCGAAGGTATCTCCAGCCAGACGCCCTCAAGGGATGGAAGATCTGCAGACGAAGACGCAACCGTCTCGTCTTGCTGCCCATTGAGCATTCAAGAACATGGGGGCGTCGCACACGTTCCTTTATCTTGGATCCTTCCTAGAGCCGTTGCGGCACACAGACTGGGATACTTGGGCTTAGACAGAACCTGCGAGGGTTCCTTTTCGGAACCCCGAGAGTCCTCAGCGAAGCCGGACCCACTTGCCTCTAGCCCCAAAACCGAGGGTAAGCCAGCCGCAAAATCTACCGACGCCATTCCACAAACCTCCAATTCTCCATTCTTCTGGAGGCAAAAGAACCTGACAGACCAAAAGAACCGTGGAGCAGCTGTGATGACTGTCCCCTTAACCAGCATTAAGATACATGGGAAGGTTTCTGGGGCTCGTGGCCTACGGGCGGCCTCGTCGGAAGTCGTAGATGCCTTTCCAAATTTATACAAGTGTGCAGTAGAAAAGTGGAAAGGTGACATGGCCGTTGAACCCTTGTATATTATCCCCTCGTCCTGCATCATTGCGGCGCTCGGACTAGAAGAAAATGACTCGGATTATAGGAGGACCAACGGCGACGGCAGTAATCTTCACCCAAAGAGTAGCTGGCAAAGGCTGACGACGGATTCTAGGAGCTACCTCATTTCTTTCCTTTCGAACAAGCAATCCAACCCTCCTGATTACGATGCCAAGGGAATGGGAGCCAAGGTAAATGACGGAACCTCGCTGTACCACGGTGATTGTTTGCTCACCTCCAAGAGTTTGTGTCACAAAGGAACGAACAACAGGCCAGGCAGTTTTCAGCCAGGTAGACATCCAGCTGATACAGTTTCGCAACATAATGTAGCGAAGGAACCAATCGCAAAAAACATTTGTTTACTTACTTTTTAACCCATAACAAAAACACACTCTCAAAGGCGCCATGCACTGCATGCTCCACAGTGCTTTTAAGCTACACAAATGATTTTTACGATAGCTGGGATAAAGTGGCATTCAGTGAGTACGTTCAATAGCAAGCGCAGAATTTGTTCTCTTTGCAGCTTTTGATTCCCTGTCCGCTGACTTGTGTACTGTTCTTCCAAAACTTCAGGGCTACTTTGACTTTTATTCACTTGCTCGCTCTCTCGGAGCAAAGCCTCTTCTGGAGCACGGCACCCTTCAACAAATTGCGCTGGAAACCAGTCACAGTATTTTTTCCTTCGACTGCCGGCCCCAGGTTTTGGAATTTTCCCACAGATCAACTTCACGCACTGCTGACGCAGATGCGACTGGTGATATCATCGACAACACCTTGGAACAATCAACGCATGTTAATATCAACAACGTTGAACCGAGCTCGGTAGTCTCTACTGCAATTGCCGTTACAGTTTATGGCCAGTCGCGAGACTTGGTGTCTGAATCAGACCCGCTTTTCTTTGAAGTGGGGCTCAACGCACCCATATGTGTAAGTTCTGTAACTCTACTTTATAAAGATGCTGCTGCTGTGATAATGGACTAAGTTCGCTGCTGAGTGTGGGCTTGGAAGTTTGCATGTGTATGGTGAACAGCTTGGAAATCGGCTCTTTGAACCTCTTCGGGTGTCAGTTATCCCCAATAACTCGGCAACGGTACAGCGGCATCCTGCAGGAGGTGCAGCTCTGGACCACCAGGAACGGTTGCTCCCTTATGCAGGCATCCCCGCGGGGGGTGACGTCAATATCCAAAGGGCTGCTAGCGGGATTGCGTTCGAGTTGGAGACCACCGCTTGTGGGTCGGAATACCGGCATATTTATGAGTCCAAGCCTTTGTTGTTCGATTGCCATTCGCCGGCTCCTGCGAGTGCGGTGGACCTTGCAGTATGCTTCGTCCGGTCTCGTATCCTTGATAGCTCTGGAAACAGAATACAACAACACTCAGCAGTGTACCGGCACGTTTCCAGGCATCAGCCGGCAGAGTTTTCTGTACAGGCTGAAGTCCTGGGATGGGTTCAGCAAAGTGCCAGTTCCTCGAGTGTCGGATCATGTGATAGTAATTCATCTGCATGCGACTATGCGGGCCTAACGAATATCAAGAGGCACATGTGGTGCACATGCGTGAGAATGATTCGGATATTTGCACCCTTCTGGTTGGTTAACCGGCAGCCTGAAGCTCTGGTTGTGTCATACTGCCGCCGCCCAATTCAGTATTTGCCTTCCTTCGACTGGAGACTCCTGGGGGTGCCTTCGCAAGGCAAAGCATATCTCGCTCTTGGAATTGCTCCTGATGACGAGGCAGCTCACCTTCTTGCGCAAAAAGACCCCACGAGCCCAGCTCTGGCTGAAGATATCAAGGCTGCGCGTTCAAGGAGGGGGACAAGCGCAAAGTTGAGTCCCCCATTTCGCGCTGACATTGTCGGCCGTCCTACGACCGTTTCTGTCCACATGCAGACTTTAGGGGAGGCTCCCTACAGGGAGAGTTCGAGAAAATCGCGTCACTTTGGAGTAACCGTGGCCTTGGCTCCCCCGCCCTTCTCCCGCTCCAGAATAATCAGCGTCCACAGCCGCTTCATACTCAAGAATTGCCTTGCAAGTGACATGTGGGTAAGGGAGACAAATGGCAATGCTCCCCCTCTTCGTCTCGCTCCAGGGTGTCAATGCGCATTCCATCCGCAGGCTTTAGGACCCCGTGGCGAAGCCCTCATATGCATCACCAAAACGGACCCTGCATTCATTGAAAACCTTGCAAAAACAGATGCAGCTGCTACCATGCGTCCAGAGAATTCGCATCCTGATGGAATTCCAAAGGCCCAGACTATAGAAAGGGTTGTGTGGTCTTCCCAGCTGTCGGTTTCCCGCAGCGCCTCATTTCAAATTCGTTTGAAAACACCAGGAGACTCTTTGCTTGGCTGTGGGGGGTCTACCCATCGGCACTTACCTCGAGGTCTATTTGCAAAGGGCGGCAGGGCCCTGTCGTGGGAACACCACAACATTCATATTGGCATTCGGTCTCTGGAGAACGCTGCATATGCTGTGGTGTTCAGTGAACCTTTAGCCTCTGAGTACCTTTTGGTTAACAACACTAACCACATAATTGCTTTTGCGCAGAGTGGCATTCGAACTAAACACGTTTGGGAGGTCCTAGACAGGGGCAACCAAGTCGATTACGCATGGACGGATCCCCAGCGTGAAAGAAAGTCCCTGCGGTTTTCGTTCTGGGATCAGAACCAGAAGGTGGTGAAGACATGCGACATTGCCCGAGTTCGAGTCCACCGACCTCTAACTTTGCCAAATTCAAAAGAAAAAATTTATTTTGTTACGGACGTTCGCGGCAGCAGGAGGCGAGTGACTGTCACACTCGATGAGCCTTCTGCCTCAATGAAGAACGCTCTCGGAGCACGCAAAGTTTGGAAGAGTTTGCAGCATGACCTTCTCAAGATCCGCCGAAAGAAGGTGCAAAACCCACTAGAGAGAGAGACCAACGCATGCACCCTAACTCATCCCTATTCACTTGCTGATGCATGCACGTCAGTTTCTGAAAGTAGGAAGCTGACTGTTCCCAGTGGTGAGCGACAGCTTTTGGTGACGGCTCGAGAACCGAAGATAGGGGAAGAAGATGAAACTGCACTAGGTGTCCCGTTCAGCCTAGCAACTCTTCCCAAAGATCGGCCGCCTCAGCGTAAAATGCTTAGGTTTCAGAAGAGGGAGATGTTGGGACGCAAGCTACGGATTAGCGCCCTTGCTTGCGGGGGGGAGAGCTCCTCCGGGTCCTCCCTGCTTGCTGAAGATACAGTAGCTCATTCAGAGCCACGTGCGCCAACAGGATCTAGTGAGTCTCATGGGACAGACTCGAGGGAAGCCGTACGGCGACACCGGATGACAGCTCTCCTCCTGAATCGCCGAAGTCTGACAAACG